TTAACACCTTCCACAATAAAAATGATTAATCAACCTCTCATAATTACAAAAAAATGAACAAAATGAAAAATTATGATTGGTTGAATGCGGTTTGCACGGTTTGTACAAATTGAGTGGTTTGCATTTGATCGCTCCCCTATATAGATATATATATATATATATATATATAGAGGGTTGGATTAACATGAGATCAAGGGTTTTTCGTGAGACCCGTTAGACCAATTTATATTCATTGATTAACTTTATAAGCTAATGATCTAATAGTCTAAAGTTGCACGGTGTCAATTTTGTAATTATTGAGAAGTCTTGTGACGTTTATGAATATTCAGATCTGACGATTGTAGATCTAATCCAAGGGTTGAGAATTGGTCTTACGAAAAACCATTGGTCTCATATGATCCCAAGTCTATATATATATATAGAGGGAAGATCAAATGTTAACCAACAATTTTGTGTTAACTTTGAAAACCCTCTCAACCAATCAAATTCCTTTATTATTGTAGGTTTATGTCTTGTTCACTTTTTACTTCCAAGGGTATTTTAGTAATTTGATTACATATGTAACTCCCAAACAATTAATGGGGAGTTACAAACAATCAATCCCAAAAAATATTCATTCATTTAATTAATATTTTTATTTTTTTTAGTATTCATCTTCCATCTTCATTATTGTATGAGTTTCAAATCGCATAAGAAACACGATAGTAATGATATTCGGCATCGATCAAGCTAATATGGATAAACGTAAAGGAAAAGAAATCGACAACACCGAGGATATTACAATGGTTTATGAAGACAATCCGAGTTCGAGGTCGGGAAGTCATGAAATCAACCAAACCGAATGTCTTGGTAATAGATTTTTATTTTTTTATTAGATTCGTATCAATCGAAATTATGTTCATTACGATGTGTTGTGTTTTTTTATAGTTCATCTTGTATTGAGAGCCTTTGTTCTTAATTGCAACACGTTTTCATATACATAGATGTCATGTATTCATAGTATTTATACGTTATTCCTTCAACATGTGGATTGTTGATGTTTTTCATTTGTTCATAGCTGTTATGTAAACTTACCTAATATTTTATATGAAATTTTTGATCCCAACTATTTTTTTATTCGTGATTTTGTAACGGTATGTTCCACATTTTTGCAATTATGATTGTTATTTGGGTTTTAATATCAACTGGTTTACACAATGTTCATGAAAAAACATAGAATCTACGTTTTTGCATATGACCCAACTCCATTTTGTGCTACAGCTGATTCCTGGTAATGTGTTCGTTCATATATGTCATACTATAGAATGTTCGTAAGTTTCTTGAGCATCTTTACAATTGTATATTGACACACAACATGTATGAGAGTTCATATGACATGAAAGTATGTACCTATCAACCTGTTATCCTACCAAAGGGACTTTGACCTAGCGGTATCGTAGTCTTTGGCCTTCTAGGAGGTCAGGGGTTCAAACCTCACCATAAGTGAGGAGGGTGTGTGAGTTTATTTGTTGCATTGACCGTATATAAATATTATATACTTAAAAAAAAACTTGTTATCCTATTTCATCATAATCATCATCAGATTCGAATTGTTCACTTATGATTGGTTATTGTTTAATTTCGTTTTAGAGATAAGATATTATAGACAATTGCTTGGATGCCGTTTCTTCAAATATGATCTTATATCTACTTATGCTGATTACTATCACAATACGACTATGCTTAATTAATCATCATCACCTTCGAAATTTGCGTACTTGATCATCACATGGTGAAGAAACCGTACATTCGTTTAGTGTTGATTCACCATCGTGCCAGACAATCTTATCCATAAAATCATATATGAACCATGTGTTGAATCACCGTGCGTCATTACATGTGCTATTTTATGGAAATAAACTTGGAATAATAGGATCTATTTTGCTGTTATTGAACTTGTTTACGCCATGATATTTAATGTTGATGTTCATTGATGTTACAAGATATGATTGTATCAACAGGTGTTCCCATGCATACACTATCCGAACATGAACCGGAGTACGATGTCGAAGAATGTTCAAATGGAAGCAAGTATTTTATCCCCAAGGTTGATGACGAGCTTAAACCAAAGATCAACGATAGGTTCGTATCTATAAATGACGTGGAAAAGATGTACAGGACTTACGCGGACAATGCTGGTTTTGATGTTCGTCTTCATGCCAAAAAAACAAACAAGAACGGAGAAATACAAACAAGATGGTTTGTATGTAATAGAGAGGGAACACCGAATAAAAGGTTTTTTTATTCCATGGCCATTCAGTCTGGCGAGAGAAGATATCGTAATACAAACATTAAACGGTGTGGATGTAATGCATGCATAAAAACCCATTTGACAAAGGATAGGTCCGGTTGTAAGATATACGAGTTTGTTGAGGCACATAATCATGCGTTATTCAATACCAACGATCGACGTTTCTCAAGGAAAAATAGACAAATGAAGTATACTGACTTCAAAAATGTTCTGAATAGCTCGAGTTACAAAGTCGGTGCGATTAGGGCTCAGCGTATACAAACGATATTGAATGGTGGATTTGAGCACAATCGATGTTCTGAGATCGACTTTAAGAATTTTAAGAGAGATGCAGTTGCCTGTGTTGGGAAAAAGGACGTGAAGTTGTTGATCAATAAACTATCCAATAGGCGAGATATTGTCCCCGATTATTTTTTCGAGTACAAGTGCAATGATCACGAGTTGGGTGCCATTTTCTGGGCAGATGAGGTTGCTAGAATTAACTACAAAGAGTTTGGTGATGTAATTTCGTTCGACGGGATGTTTCGAACCAACAAGTAAGATTTACATGTTCAATCAAGTTTTTTCATGTGTGATACTCATCGTCATCATTTTATAACTTCAATTTTATCTGATAGGCATGCGATGATTTTTGTTCCTTTTTTGGCGGTTGACAATCACAAAGCCTCCGTTGTTGTCGGATCTGCGTTAATAAGTGGTGAGACAATTGAAAAATTTACCTGAGTTCTAAGAGCTTTCCTAAAATGCCATGAGAAGCAACCGGTTTTTGTGATTACGGATCAGTGTTCGGCAATGAAGCAGGCTATTCCGTTGGTGTTTATGGAAACCAAGCACCGTCTATGTATATGGCACATCATGAAGAAAGTGCCTTCTAAGGTGAGAACACTTTAATAAACAATTATCTTTCATATGCAAATGTCGTTGTTCATAGGTTCATATTGTGATCGATACGTCCGTAGGTCAGTGTCGCCCTAAATCAAGATCCTGTGTTCAGTAAAGTTATTAACAAGCTCGTATGGAACATACATATTGGCCCATCTGAATTTGAGCCCAAGTGGCAAAAGATGGTCGCGCAATACAATTTAGGTGGTGATCCGTGGTTTGCAGAAATGTATGACATCCGCGCATCATGGATTCCGGCGTATTATAAGGACACACCGATGTCTGGTCTTATGAAAACAACATCAAGATCCGAGAGTTCGAATTCGTATATTAACATATACAAATCATATTGGTATGATTTGGTTCAGTTCCTTAATAATTATGACATTGCTATAGAGAAACAAAGATACAGACAAGCTATGCATGAAACAATAACGAGGACAACTTATCCAAAATTGTTTACTCCGTTGCGTTTAGAAAGTCACGCATCGAGTATATACAGTCGCAATGTCTTCTTTGACATCCAAAAGGAAATAAATAAGGCMGTATGGTTCTGTGGTATAGAGACGATTGAATGTCGGGGTGATCTCAAGACGTTTATCATAAGCYAYAAGAACAAGAAATCATCTGTCAGCWCCACGTATCGGGTAACATATTCCTTACATAGAAGCTAMTGTTTTTAAAATTTTCTCGTTAAACGTCACATATTTGTTTTATCGAAAGCAAATGTATTTATTGTAGGTGTTCCGTAATTACTCAGTCAACACGGTCGAATGCGAGTGCAATCTATTCACGCGTAACGGGTATCTGTGTCGTCATTYATTTAAGGTTCTAATAAACGATRAAGTTGACAATATTCCGAACCAATACRTTTTACGTCGATGGAAACAAAAATTAGTTYCTGTCCAGTTACAATCCGCYAGAGTTCGATACGGTGAGGTGGATGCGGAGAAGGATAAKTACATAATTGATGTATATTCCAAAGTYGACGACATAATAARCATCGCCCGGAATGATAAATCCCTATTKTCTAGGTTGGAGCAGACGCTCGACAAATTYATGGTTGATATCGAAAAACAAGTACCATATGAAGACCCATCGCAACGAAAGCTGGATGCKATCAGAGATCATCTTGGTGTTTCCATACCGGACGACGTGGACATTCTACCACCATCTGGAATAAGGAACAAGGGTTGTGGTACTGGTAATAGGTTGGTAAGTATGTCTGAGAAAATACAGTCTGCAAGCAAAAAACCACGGCGAAAATGTGCGAACTGTGGCCAACGTACCGGACATGACTCACGCAATTGCCCCGAATTGAAAGAGTAGTCAGTATTCCAACTCCTTGAAATGTTATCGTTTCGTTGTGTTTCGCCGAACCAATCTTACATTGCGTCATGCGTCAATTTTGGATTATGTCTTATTACGATTGGAGGATTATTGATAATAAAACTGTTGTTTTTTGCTTTTAAATAATTTGATTTGTTTCTAAATTAGTTCATAAGTTGATTGTTAACTCGGTTGATGGCAGATATCTTGTTTACGAATTGTATGCCTTTCTTGAGTATGATTCATGTTAGTATGTGTCATTGAGGTAATAAGTTTGAACTTATGATGTATCCGGTCAATTAACCATTTATTGATTCTTATATTTTTCACATTGTTCATAACTATTTTAAATGAATTATTTGAAACAATTTCATCATATCAGATAATATCATGAAAAAAATTCATTAAAATAAACAATGAAATCGACAATTTTTATGATTATACAAATACCTTTTACATTTTATGTCACTCTTTTGTAAGACTCGCAGAAGCTCTCACAATCTTACAACTCCTAACGCTCATACATTCACTCTCTATTTATATATACAATTTAAATAGAGACATTACTACCACGGCGACTATCGACCCGAGCCCAAAGAAGGGAAAAAACGAACGGACTAAAGCGAGGAGTTCATTGGCCATACATAGTTAAGGAGGATGGGGGCCAACCTCTTTCATGACCCATGGCCCCAGTGTGTCACTTGGTTAGCATTTCYGGAAAGGGAGAGTCAGGCTAGTTTTTCGATAGGGAAAGAGACAGGGGAGTCGGCTGTAATGGAGACAATTCGGATGGACGATATGGATTTCTTCGAGATGGTTAACCACTTTTTTAACCGTGAGAGGGGGGTCATTCAGAACCCGCTGGCTCCAGAACGGGGGGCGGCTCCAGAGGCGCTGCCGCGGGCGCCAGCACCGACTGAAGTTGCCCACCCCGCTCCCGATCAAAAAGAGCGTGCGGGACTTCGAAGGGGCATTCAAACTTGAATTCGTGAGCAACTGCACGAACATTGTGAAAAGGGGAAAGGGCGGCTGTCCGTGCACTTTCCGGAAATGACGGAAATCTAGTCCAGTGCCGCGAAGGCGATAATGTCTTACGATCTGGGGATCTCCGCGGAGACGGATACGGAAACCCCCGCAGATGGGTAGAGAATCTAAGGGGGACCCTAATCTCCTAAAACCAGTCATTAGGGAATACCGACCAAATGAGTCTGTCTGCCGCTTGATTTCATAACAGAGCCGTTATTCCCGGCTGGCATAGAAGTCTCTCGCGCGGGCGAAGGAGATGCATTTCTGGTACTGGTGGTATTGGACAAGAAAAAAGGGAATAATTTCTTTCTTCTTTCTGCCTTTCTTTCCCATGACGACTAGGAACGGGCAAATCAAAAATTTCACTTCGAATTTCGGACCTCAACATCCTGCTGCTCATGGTGTTTCACGATCAGTATTGGAAATGAACGGAGAARTGGTGGAACGTGCGGAACCACATATTGGATCACTCCAGTGCGGCACGAAGCCGCTGATGCCGAGTCGGCTCCTATGCCGCTAGCTATGCCCTGCTTGGTCCCCCGRCACGGTGGAGGTTCCGTAGCGCGTCATGAGCATCGGGCTAAGGGGCGGTTGAGCAACTCAAGCGAACCGCCCTACCTTACTACAAYATAAGGACAGAAGGGAGAAGGTTGTGAAGGTGGCCTCGTTATCCACACCTCCGGTCGGATGAATGGAGGACCGACCAACCCGGGTTTTCACGAGCGTTGGCGGGTTCTGGAGTGCMTGTCAAGGGCGCTAGCGCATACCCCGGGGTGATCATCACCACCTGCACCTCACATCTCGGCAYAGTGGAACGTGTAACCCGCCTGTTGTTCCATTCAACTACATTTGTTCCTGTAATCCATAGCCTAACAGAACGCAGCAGCGAGGGACAMCCCGCCCATATAGCCAGCGGGGAGGATGACACTACTGGCAAAGACCGTCTGGCGAAAATGCCGCAGGCGCGAAGCGTGGTAGGCCTGCGCCGGAGGAGCATAGGGAGGAAAGGGAGCCCGGACGGTGGAAGAGCCAGGGGAGGCCGGGTCATTTGACGGAAATGGAAGGCTTTGGGCTATGAACCTATTAAAGAAGGCCCTATGGAGTAAAGGGAARTGCATGAATTCTTGGAAAAAGAGGGAGCGAGCTATATAAAAAATGGAATCAAGCAAATTCAATGAATAGATAGAGTCAACGGTACGACAGACARCGCTGCCTACACGCGAATTTGCTTCCGAAGTCGAGCAGTCTCAATTTCACTACAGGATTTTAGAATGAATGCTGGGCTGGGCCACCTCGAATGGCGTGAGCCGCATGCGGGGAGACCCGCACGTACGGTTTTTAGGGGGATCTGGTCGAAAGACCGGYCGGCGCCCACCCGACTAGAGGGACTGAGAAATTAATAGAGTACAAAACTTATCTTCAAGCTTTACCTTATTCTGATCGTTCAGAGGGCGATCGCGGGGTCACTGAATGAAGTCCTCCGTTTCTTTCGGAGGTGCTGACCCGCAGCRAGGCAGAGATGACTAAGTGACGTATGGAATATGGCGACGACAACAGCATGTCGTATAAGGAGATAACAAGTGGAGCCAACGACCCACTAAGACTAACGTATCTACAACTACATCCCCGAGCGGCAGTCAAACGGGGGCGTGAATGCGAGATGCCAGCGGAATGATCGGCCGGACAGAGGCTAGGGCTCCTTCCTTCCCGCCGCGTCCTTCCTTGTGTGTCGGAGATA